TTATTACAGAATTGCCTAATTGCAATTATTTGAGATGATTGCAGTTATTTCAGATAAATAATTATTTAAGCTGACTGCCAGTTTAGCAACAAATGCAACTAAATTGTTAATTGCAAAGACTTTCAAATACATTGTTGGCATGAAAGTGGCACCTAATTCTAGGTTTAATGTCCCGAAATGCAACCATCTTCTGCAAATCTCCAACCATGATCATTGTAGAAGTTCTTGCCTCTCTAACTGTTCTCTTCAGTGTGAGTAGAAACACGTATCCTCTTCCAGGCAGATTCAGGACAGCTCTGGTTGTTTTAAACTTCTTAAATATTGCCCTAACAGTGGATATTAGCTGTTTCATTAAGCTATTTTTGTTAAAGCCATTGCATGGTTTATAAAGGTCAGTACAATTCTGTCTCATTTCATTTGTATATCCACATGTTGATAAATGACAAAGGGAAACTGGCTTCTGTGTCAGCCAAAGGTTCTCTAATCCAAGGAGATATCACTCTCCTCTACTGTTTGGTACTGAGGAAAAAGCGTAATGTCCATCTTGGACAATCAAATCCAACCAAGTTATAAGCCAGTCATATCTGACCTTGACATGAGTGAAGCTCTTCCAAGTGTTAAGACCGCTCTCTTCAGCAACGCTTTTTTATAATTCACTGAAATACTGATGGTTACAAACTACAGCCATTTAGTTCTGCATATGCTATATATAAACTAGTGTTGCTGCTGCTGTTTCTAACATTTAATAGTATTTCGAGCCACTGTTAAAGACGCTTTTCTGAGTTACTGTCCACTGTAAGCTATTATGTAACGTGAACATACCTTTTATCATCCTGAGGTTGTGAAAGAAAATTAAATAATCGTCAAAGGTTCACAGTTTGGATGTCCGCTGGCTTGCCAGTTAGTTAAAAATGTGCTAATCATTGTGCTAAACTAAACACTGGCCTGCTTCAGCTCATTGTTCTGGTATAAAAGAATGGAAATCACTAATGAACAAGCTCACTAAGTTAAATTGTCGAGATCCATGATTTGATGAGCTAATGTCTGAGAAACAACAAACAGAATACTAATTTTGCTATATAAAAGAACATGTATATATTTATGTACCAGGCTTTTCCATAGTATTTAATCTTTTATCTGTCATATCATCTCTGCTTGGCAAGTTTTCCGAGACATTGGCGCAGTGCCAAAAAGGAACTGGTATTTTCTCCATTTACTCCCAATTATCCACTCAGAGCCTCTGGTCTCCCTGCTCACAATTGTTAGACTAATTATGGCTGTGTATCTCTGGGGGAGGGTCTCTGTTTCAGCTCATATTTATACCCCAGTGAAACAGGAAGTCAAGGATGACAACTTAGTTCCTGAACACTCAGGTGGACAATAAATTGAAGTGAAATATAAATGGGAACATGTTTTAATTACATTTTGTTTTTTTACACTATCCACAGTATGCTCAGAAAAGCTTATCATGATGTAATTCATGAGGCATTATGTAGGATTGATGTACTGGTTAGGCCCACTAATGCATAAGCCTCTGTCCCCCCAGTGATATGAACACAAGCAAATCATTAACTTGACTGCAGAGACATTGCGTCTGAATAGGTTTGCTTGATTGTGATACCAGTCCCAGCAGCTGTAAACTGACTGTGACTTGTCCTTGTTGTATTCATGGCTACAAATGGTGTCTTTGAAAGGGTCAGGAGCTTGCTCTATAATTCCCTCCAAAAACAACAGATTTAGTGGATAAAGCCTACAGTATCTGCTGTCTGTATCAAGTGTAAAAAAAAAAAGCCTGTATAGTACGTTTTTCTGAGATTGGATATATATGTTATGGCAGGACTTTCCTTGCCTGTGAAAGAACGGAAACTGCCAGAGAGGAAAGTGTTGGTTTCAAGCTTCCCTTAAACGATGGTCATGTGAATTGCATTGGGAACAGACAGGTGGAGAAGGAATTGAGTCAGACAGGAAACGCAGCTCATGTTTTAAACATTTTTCTTGGCCTTTCACTACAGGAAAGGCACATCACTGAGGCCTATCTTAACTCAGAATGTTTAGGCTATCTCAAGGACACATCAGGACATCTCCAGATTGCATTAAACATCTTATTGATTACCCTGTATGGAAGAGTACACTCTTCGAAATAAAAGTGCCACAAAGGGTTCTTTGGATCAGTGCCAGAGAGCAGGGGTACACAACTCCAGTCCTGGAGGGCTGGTGTCCAGCACAGTTTGGTGAATTACCTTCTGAGACACATCTGATTGGAGTCATTTGTTAACTGCCAGTTTTAGAGGGTGTGTTTGAGTAGGGAAACCTCCAAACTGACACCAGCCATCTAGGACCGGAGTTATGCACCCCTGCCACAGAAGAACCACTTTTGGTTTCATAGAGAACTTTTCTGTAAATGGTTGTTTAAAGAACCTTTTTTTGTTAATGAGATGTGGGAATGTGAAGAACTGTCTGAAAGTTTGGTGTAAAGGTTGTGTGCAAATTAAATGTTTTTTCTTGGATCATATGGTCAAGCCAAGAAAAAATTGGAGACCTTTATTTTTTTATGTGTTACCCACTTTGCTTAAATCTCAGTCTAACTTGTGGATACCACCCCATCCTCACTGTTTCTTTATCCGTCCATAGCAGATATTTTAAACACATGTTCCAAACTGATCTGGACTGCATAACTACGTCACTTGACTCTCAAAGCAGTTCCTGGCAGAACGAAGACCACACTGGGCTACAGTACCCATCACTGCAAAAAGTGAGCAAAATGAGTTTCAATAATTAGTTTCAGTATGGACTTTCTGGACTAATAACCATAACCAGTTACACCTAGTTGTGGCTGATGTTGATACCAATAACCAATAATTTTACCTTTTTTGCATTTTAAAACAAGCTCACAATATAATCGACATAGGAAGTACTGTGAGCATAAGACAGTATAAACTTCAAAGATGAATTTACATAGCCACCAAATACCTAAATCAGACATGACATTGTAAATCTTTACATATTTAATGGACACTCTTATTGGGAGTATCTTACAGTGGTAGCTGAATGTACAGGTATCATCTTGAAAAAGCACTTTTATTATACTCTTATAGTGTTATGATCCACTGTGCTGTCCACTTTTTTTTTATTCTGAAAGATTCTGTGCAAAGAACAGAAATGCCCAGCACTAGTGATTAGGGCTGAAAGATTTATTATTTAATATTAAAATCACAGTTGGAAAGAGTGCATTTTTTAGATGGCAAGGGCTGCAGTTTTTGTTATAGCCTACATTATCAACAATTCTGTTGTAATATGTTTTAAATCGGCAAACCTACCTTATAACACTGAGGCTGTGAACTGCCTGAAGCAACCAAACAGTCATGTGCTCTGTACATGGCAACACAACCACAACTAACTGGCAGTTTGGCACTCTATTTTCAGCGTTCAAGCCTCAAGCAATCACAGTTTTGGTAAGGAAAAAATGCAATTAGTTACTTTCCTTAAATCACTCAACAGTGATTACTTGTCCATCAGTGCATGCTTGAGCACACTTGGCTGCTAAATTATCAGCTTTTAATTCAGTATAGGGCTGATAATAAGAATTACATTTTTTTATCATATATCATTTAAAGATAAACTGAAGGCTGATGAATTGTGCACTAGGCGTGGGCAATATGAAAATACTTTGTCATTGTGCTAAATTTTGTCACAGTATGCTATTCAGGGCCTCAGTTATTAGCAAAAAATCCAACAGTTTAAAAAAACAATGATCCTCAGCTAGAGATTGCAAGGCAGGTATTTCACCCTCTGCAGAATCATTCAAAATAGTCAGGGAATCTGGAGAAATCTCTGTGTGCAAAGGACATAGCTGAAATCACCACGTGGGCTTGGGCATACTTTGTGAATAAACACCCTCCTTTGAATCCAAAAATAGAAGTTAAAACTGTACTATACACAGTGAAAGCCACATGTCAACAGAAGTCAGAAACGCTGCCAACGTCTCTGGACTCAAGCTCAGTGCACAGTGTAAACATGTTTTGTGGCCCAATAAGTCAACCTTTCAAATTATTTATGTAAATAATGGACATTTGGGCCAAAGAAAAAAAGGATCAATCTACATTGTTACCAGTGTAAAGTTCGAAAGCTAGGATCTGTCATTGTATGGGGGGCATAGAAGTGGTTAACCTGCTGTGAGAGCATCATTAACGCTGAACACATTTTTGTAGCTCTATAAACTGGCTTTTAGATGCTGTCTTTTTCAGGGACGTCCATGCTTATTTCAACATGACAACATCAAACCATATTTTGCACGTTACAACAGCATGTCTGCGTAATCAGAGAGTGAAGGTGGTAGACTGGCCTACCTGCAGTGCAGACCTGTCTCCCAATGAAAACGTGTCTTATTAAGCGAAAAATACTACAACAAAGGCCCCGTATGGTTGCACAGTTGAAGAGTGGTATAACAGAAGAAAAAATATGCTTTCAAAACTGGATCAGTTTTTGTCTTCAGTCCCCAAATGTTCATAAAGAGTTGTTGAAAGAAAAGTTGATGTAACACAGTGGTAAGCACCATTTTTTGGGACATATTACAGGCATAGCGTTTGGAATGAGCATGCATTTACACAAAATAATGAGGTTTATAAGGTAAAACATCAAATATTGTGTTTTTGTACTGTTTTCATCTTCAAACAGGTCAAACAGAATTTACTAATGACTGCTATCTGCTTGTACCGGCTTTTCACATACTGTCCCAACTTTTTTGGACTTGGGATTGTATAGTATTTTTGCCATGTCACCCACCCCTGTTGCACCCATACTAAAAGCAGTGATGAATTCTATGATTTGTTTTTAGTTGTAGCTTCACACTTAATAGAATGCTTAAAGTGAGTGTTTTTCTCTTTTGTGAATCTGGTGTTCTCTCCTGCAGTCTCATTGAATTTCAAAATGTGTGAAAATCGTTTTTTATGATAAGTGTGAACTTGCTCACTGACTGTTTCCCCTTTTGTCCTGTGGTGCAGGGCTGCGGGTGTCTCTGCTACTCACAGCCTTCCTCATGGTGCTGGGCTCTGTCCTGCGGAGCGTTCCCCTCTCTGACCTACAACTGAGACGATGGTAAGACTCTAATTAACAACTCATCATTTCACCCAGAATTTCTTTTCAAAGAATAACATTTTGGAAAGGTCGAAGCAATTTTCAAACCTTGCCTTGGAAAGATTTCAATTCTGTTTAAACTGTATCATTCTGTTTTGCCCCTGGCTTCTTAGTTATGATGAGATTTGTGTCGTAAGATGGACTTTTGTAATGTTTTAAATCCTTTTCTGGAAGTGCACTTTTATTTGATGCCATATAATATGCTTATAAAAGTGGAGACGAATCACACATTAAAGCAGCGGAACACATTTTCCACAGTTATCAGGCTTTTGAATCTCATAGCATTTAAACTAATACATGTTATCAGTATGTATGACCACCGTTGTTTATTACTTAAGTGCAGCTGCATGGGACTTTTGGACTGCAGAACCATAAGAGTATTCACTATAGTCACTTTTATCTAGATAGTTTGCAGTGCAACCTGACCAAGATGAAATTGTGTTTCCTGTTTAGCATTATCTTTGCATACATGGAAAGACACCTAAATGTTAAAATTGTTTAGGTAATAAAAGGCGTATAATAAAGAAGGCAGAAAGCAAGTAAGCAAAGAAAGTCTGCCGGACCAAGTACAAAAATTTGGATTCAGTTGTTTTAATTTTTTTAAATTCACATTTGTAAATAAAAAAATAGTAAATAAATTTCTTCCTAATATAATACGAAGTAACCCAACATCTTTTGAAAACTCCTTCCCTTTTACGACTTTAATAGTCTAACAGTTACAGCAGAAGTGTGTTCATGCTAGAACAACTTCAGACTTTAAGTGAAGTTCGAAGCTGTGCACATTAAAAAAAATGGGTATTCTTCTAGAATATTTCTCGATTTATTTATTTATTTATTTATATGGCACGGGGGCAGTCATGGGCTGGAGGTTAGGAAACCAGCCTTGTGACCGCAAGGTTGCCGGTTCGATCCCCTGAGCCGACAGTACGTGACTGAAGTGCCCTTGAGCAAGGCACCTAACCCCCAACTGTTTCTTGGGCGCTGCAGATAGGGCTGCCCACCACTCCAGGCAAGTGTGCTCACTGCCTCCTAGAGTGTGATCACTAGTGTGTATGTGCTGTTTCACTGCACGGATGGGTTAAATGCAGAGGTGAAATTTTCCTGTTGTGGGACTAATAAGGGTCACTTAATCTTAAAGGTAAATTAATCCTCTCTCATTCTGTGTCAGTTTCCCATTTTGATTTGTTTTGATTGTGGCCCTCTTAGCATCACCATTAGGTAACTTGTCAGTCATCAACGATATCTGATTACATCACCTAAACACCCAGGCTTAGTCCAAAACACTGATAAGTTTTGAAATGCTTTACGATATTAGGGTTGTGCACAGGTACTCGAGTACTCGATTAGCTGTTTCTGTTGCCCTTATCTGAATACTCAATTCAGTATCCAGTAGGGGTATAATTCAGTTCGGTATATTACTGTGGTCTCTTGATTTTATACATTTTTGTTTCTGGGCAAATAAGGAATGCCTGGAAATCTGCCTTATGTTAATATTCCTGTCCTAATGTACATTTACGAGGGATGTGCTTTTCCTTCCTGCTCTCGATTTTGAGAGGAGGAAGAGAAGGTGATATTTTCAGAGGAGGGAGGGTCGGCCCTCATTGTTTGCTTGCTTGTTTAGTTTTTATTTTACATTGTGCAATATAATCAGTTTTAAACTGAATACCTGATTTGCTCCAGTCAGTAAAATGTTGTGGAGTAGTAAAAGGACTATTTTTTTTCTTGTTTTGTGTTTTTTTTTGGTTTGTTTTTATTTTGTTTCTGTTTTTGTTTTTTCTTTTGCAGCCAAGATTAAGTGTTTTAAACTATATTAAACTTACTTATATTAAAATATTACATCTAGCTTAACACAAGTGCCTTAATGTGAATGTTTCCAAGGGCACACTGTTGCCAAGGATGTGATTAAGAAGGCAGAGGTAGTGCAGCTGTAACTTGACTAACTACTAGATGACGAGTCGTCAACCACTACTGCTGCACTTGTTAGCTCTAGTGTTAGCATTAACTCATTAGCTGATTTAAGGCTGCCTCTGTTACTCTAGTGTGGTGATCAAAAGATTTCCCTTATTTTTGAGTAATAAGGCAAGCTTGTAAATGTACACCTCTGAGCTGCTCAGTTTTCATGTGAGCTAACTTTTTTAGCCTGCTAGCACTGGTGTACCGTGTTTGTGTATTATACATTAGTATCGTTCGTTTTTTTTGTTCATTAATTCTTACAGATACTGAAATATCCAAATTAGCCTGAATTGCACTTCTCAAGATGATATCACCTAAAGAGCCATGAATGTTCTTCCTGCTGTAAAATTAAAATTAGTGTAGTGACCCACCAGTCAACGTTGAGGTTCTCACACCACAAATGAAACCAAGAAATAATTCATTTACAGTTGTGTAGGAGATCTGATTATGCCACACATTGACCATAACAGTGTTAGCTATTGTTCATCTAGAGGTTGTAGGATCAAATGTTTAACAGGGAGTCTGCTGTTGTCTGAAATACTTCCCATCAGAGATATTTGATTAGGTTTTATGTTACATTGCCGTGGTGCCAGGTAAGATCTGCATCTGCAGAAAACATTCCTCCTGAATCATCCATGTCCAGAAAAAAAAAAAAACATAATCTTTCTTTTCTCAGGGAAGTAATTGCACGTCTGATTAAGGTTCATAAGGTTATCTCAATGACTTTGCAGGAAGTAATTTCATTAGACTTGCTTCTGTTAATCTGACATGTATTTCTTATTACATTTAACAATGAGTTCATTTCAAATGATGTAAAGCTACTTTCTGAGATCACCTGAGGGCAGAAAAATCATATTTCTTAAATGAGTATGGAAAAGTGTTCAGTGGGTTATTGAATGTCTTCTGATTTTGAACTCAGGCTGCTACAGTCTAGCAGAGTCAGTTTCCTGTACATAAAGTTTTGTTGTTTATCGTCTTTATGACGATATAAAAATTGCATGAGGGCAATGGGGGATGCCCATTTCAACTGAGAATAGCAGAAATACATGCTACATTTCCCGAATCAGTGCTCAGCTGTATTGGTTAGATATGCTTTCCAAAAAAGATTTCTTTATCTTTTTAGTATTATGTATTATTCATGAGGAATTCATTACAGAACAAAGAACTGCTAAATGATAAAAGTGCTTTACTTTTGGTGGCCACTAGTTATTACAAATATTTATGCAAGTCAGTGTGATTCGTCTGTTACCAGATTTTATTTTTCAGGCTTGTGGCCATGGTCCCTCAAACAGGGTTTTAGAAGAGCAGTGTGGCAGCCTTGCTGTTGAATTTTCTAATTAATAAAGAAAAGAGCTTGGGGGTGAAAAGTGTTCCTCAAGGTCATACACGGAACACACAGTCATCTGTTTGTTTGTGTATTTCGACAGGAGTAAAACATCTGCTGTTTAGGTCTTATTCAGGGTTCTACCATACGCTTTTAGGCGAGGAACACTGATTCTCCTGATTAGAAATAGACAGGACCATACAGAAAAATATGTGAGCGCAAACTTAATATGAAGTATTTATTCCTTCTTTTTTTTCTTTGTTCCTCCTGTCGGTCAGAAAGGATGTGTAATTCAGCAATCAGGTGTATCCTACATTGTCCAAACCCTTAAAGGTTACCTGAACAAGATTAGGAACTACCATTTTTAGTCATTTCACATGTATTATGTCCTTTCCTTATAGTTCTTTGATTTCATCTGGGTTTCTCTCTTTTATGTCATCAACACAATGTATGTCTTTGTCCCTGCAGTTCTTATTACTTTGGCCTGGAAGCCTGTTTGCTGGGCAGCCGTTTCTTACTGTAGCATTTACATTTATTCAAATAGGGTTTTTTGTTAACATAATGCATTTTTTGTGCATGTTAATTAGAAAGTAGGTAAAGACTTAAATTACAGATACTGCAAACTTTGCTAGTTTTAGAAGTAAAAAGCTGTCAGTGCTACTGAACGAAGGGCCATTGGGGAGCCATAAGAATTGGCTCTTAATGGTGATCAGAGCCAATTGATCTGACTCACTGAAAAGTGTGAGTGTGCAGGCTGCTTTCCACTGTATTTTAATTTATACTAAATGATAAACAGTCCTGACACCACAATCTTTACAGTACTATTACAAACTGTACCTAGTGTTATGTTCCCCTAGTGTTACATTTTCAATGCAATCTAATTAAACACACTGTTCAGGAGTTTTTCTGTTATATAAGAGGGCTGTTTAGCTGCTGGATGAATTTATTTAGCAACGATTTTGGTGGCCCGTTTAAATATAATGTGCAAAATAGACTTACTTTGCTTTAATTTGATGGGGCCTTATTGGATAATAATGCTGGGCAACACACTTCAAACATGCAGTGGAAATCAGTTTCTTTTTTGAGAGTAAAAGCCTGCAAGATCTACGTTCGCTGCCAGGAGACAGCAAAAAAACGAACTAGCAGTTCTTAACTAAATTGTGACACTATGCAAGTTTATTTGGCAGGCTAGGCAGTCTTCTTGTGATATGTGCTATGAGGCAAGTAGGAAAATGCCCTGTCAAAATAATGGCATTTGATTTTTCCAGGGACATACATGGTTGAAAAAGTATGCACATTTGTTTCCCCACTTAATCAAAAGTGTTTTTTTTTTTTGTTTTTTGTTTTTTTTTAATTAATGAAGGAGCAAGTGTGCACATTTTGCTTGCACTGTAGAATCTTGCCTTATTTTATATATATTTTTTATATATATTTTATTATACAGCTAAACTTTATTTTAACAAAACAGGTTACATTTGTGTTATTTTCAAACATGGAATACCAGAATACTGATTAGGGCCCAACTGATATATCAGTTGGCCGATAATATTTAAGCAGTTTGGTGAATGGCATTCGGTTCATTTCTGGCTAATTCCAGGTTCTTTAGGTGTTCTTCTGTCACAGCTGCCAACTGAAAAGGTTGCTCAGTGGAAATGACAGTTTCGGAATTTAGTGTGATCTCATC